TGACACGAGCTGGGGCACACGAGTGAGCTTTCTCCARTGTGAGCACTAGTAAGCAGCAGCAAGGGCATAACTGCAAAGGCATATATTCCTGTTCCCGAGGTTTTCAGCTCTCATTCTTACTGCTGCTTCTTTTTCCTCTCCCTTCTGGGATGGAGAGCTTTACCAGAATCTTCTATTAGCTGGTGAACAGTGTGTTCCCATGAGGGCTTGGCTGAGGTACTGTTCTCAGAGTGGCTTTGCATAAATTGGAATAAACAGAATATCCCAGGATGAGTTGTACTTACCCTTCCTGGCCTAGCCTGGTACCAGGTGAAGGCCTATGGTCAGTGAGGTATCTTAAGCACACAGTTAATTATGTTGTCATTATGTGAGAACTTGCAGAAGAAAAGTTTTCTTCTTCCAGCAGCCCATAAAACCTAATTGTGGGTCATTCCATCTGTGTCCAGCAGCTGGCTCGAGCTGTTCCCCAGTCAGAAAAGGACTGGCACAGCACTATCAGCTTCCAGTGGCTTCCAGCAAAGCTCTGCCCCAAACTGGCTGTTTCTGGTTGTGAAGGTGATGCATGAATGAGCCCATGCATGTGGAGGTGCAGGATGGCTGTTGGAAGGAAGTGCTGTTCCCATTTATTTTGTAGCAAAGTCAACTCTAGGCCGTAGTAGTGAATGGTCAGGGTGTCTTGCTAAAGGAAAAAGCCTCTCCATTTTCACCTCATGCAGAGATTGACAGTGATTTTAGAGGGTTATTTCCTTTATTCCTGCTGTGAATATGGAAAGCCAGGTTGAGTGTGTCATTCCTCAAGAGGCAGGAGTTGTTAGGTAGGAGTTGCCAAGAGCCCAGCCTTGGAAAAATGCTCTTTAAGATATTCCAGGATGGACACCAAAAATCCCAGAGATACTCAGTAGACAGAGGTTGGAAAAGCTGTGGCTCTTAGCTCTTTAATCCCTAAGCCAAAAGAAAGAACCATGCCTGAGCTGTTTGTTGTCAGTCCTGTTTTAACTCTCCCACAGTGGATTGTGTCAGAAGTGGTGACTGGAGTTGTGACCTTCCACAGGGTCCTCCAACTTAACCACATCAAATATTGCCACTGCCTGGTTCAAAGTGTATGGATTTGGTGAATGAAGGTCTGGTGGGTTTGATGCATTCTAGGGACAGGCTGAGCTATCTTTCCCAGCAGAACTCTGGAAAAGCTGTGGGGAACATTAGCAGAAAGAGGATTGTATTTCTTGCTCTTAAATGTGATTTGCTTTTGTTTGTTTTTTGTTTGTTTAAAAATAATATTTACTGATAGGAGGCATCACACTCCCGGCGGGATCGAAGGCGTCTCTCTAGTGCATCCTCCAGTGCACAGTGGACTCCAACTCCTGACTGGGTAAGGGAATCTGGGCAGAGGAAATAAATAATGAGGAAAAGAGTTGTGGCAGAAATACCTCACACACCCCCTTCCCTGCCATCAGAAACTCTCCCAGAGCAGCATTTCCTCAGTGGGAATGTCTTTGACTTGCGGTCAAAGCTCCAGAAGTTTACTAACATCTGCAAAGAAATATTTTGTTTTACCTGTTTTAAGCCAATGCCCCACTGATTTCATTGGGTGCCTCATAATTCCAGTGCTCTGGGATTTATTGTATTGCTCCTGTGCACTCAGTTCATCCGCCAGCTTCATAATGTACACACCTCATTTGTTGCAGAGATTGCAGAGACAGCTGTATTAAAACTGCTAATGCAGTGCACTGATTTCCCTGCTGCTTTCCTACCTATAGGTGATGTCTTGGAAGTCAAAGCTTCCCCTGCAGACAATCATGCGGCTCTTACAGGTGCTGGTCCCTCAGGTGGAGAAGATCTGCATTGACAAGTAAGTAGATTTTTGGAGAGGAAGGACTGTGCAGTGTTTAAGGAGCTCTGTGAGGTTGGCAGAGTCTGAATTTGGAGAGCCCTTGGGGAAAGCTTGTAAAGCATGATTGAAAACATCACAGGCTCAGCAGAGATGTTATTCTCCTTGCCAAACGTCGTGTTTGTCTCATCCCTTCTCCGCTCTGTTTACAGAGAGGGTGTGTGTTCTCGCTGGCCACGGTCGCTGGCTCTGTGTCTGTGTCTGTTTAGACTGATACTTTGTGCTGCAGCAGTCTTGGGGGTGTCTGTGGGCCGTGCTGAGGATGTTCCTGGCCTGTCTCTTCGCAGGGGTCTCACGGATGAGTCGGAGATCCTCAAGTTCCTGCAGCACGGCACCCTGGTGGGGCTGCTGCCGGTGCCTCACCCCATCCTCATCCGCAAGTACCAGGCCAACTCGGGCACTGCCATGTGGTTCCGCACCTACATGTGGGGAGTTATTTATTTGAGGTAAACCAGCTGGGTGCAGTCTGAGTTGGTCTTTTCCAGTCTGACTTTTGGGAGGCCTGTAGAGGGAATAGCGTGCACTTGGCCGGCTCTGGATCGTCTCATATTTACAGGATAGAAAGGTGTTGTTCCCTTGGAAGAGACTTGGATGAATCAGCTGCTCCAAAACTTTGAGTGGGTGTCATGAAGGGAGTTGTTCTGCGAGTACTGATAGTTTGGGAACTGGCAGCAGCAGGGAATGGAAAAGCTGCCTAGAGGGTCTGGTGCAGAGATTTCATGCAAAGCTCTGGCTTTGTGGGATGTTGTGGATACTGTCATCCCTTTCAGGTGCATTGTCTCTCAACCAGTGATTTCCTTTTATGCAAAGCTGAAGATGTGCTGTGTAGGCAGCTGTAATCTTGGCTGGGAAATTTGAATTCCATGTACCTGGCCACAGAGAGTAAAGTGGCTCTTGTTTTTCTCTCTCAGGAATGTGGATCCCCCAATCTGGTATGACACAGATGTGAAGCTGTTTGAAATTCAACGGGTCTAAGAGAGCACTTACCTCTACTGAGAGAAATACACTGGATCTAAGGACTGCGGTGTGCTGCTTCATCACAGCTATTCCTGCATTTCACATTCAGCTGAGAGACCAAAAGGACAATCACTTCATTTACCTCCCTGTCATTTAAAGCTTTAATTGGGACTTGCTTGGACATCCCTCCCCCCAGCTCACTTCTCTTCCCTCACCCTTCACCACGAACCTTGAGTGAAAGATACCTAAGGGATTGTCCATTGTTGTGGTTGCACTAGAAATCAGACTGTTCTTAGCTCCTCTGTTACTCTTTTGCTTCTGGATGTGGTTTGGAGACCAATCTGACCCTGTCCTTGCCCTGGTGAGAGTCAGCATTTAATTGAAAAAGACTAGCTGTATACTGGGTGCAAGGGAGAAGCTGCTATTCCTGCAGGAGACAGGTTTTGGAAACTGCAGTTACTTTCATGTGGCTCCACAAAGTTTCCAGGGCATCCCTTCTTGGCTGCAGGTGTCTCCCTGGTGTCTCAGTTGTATATAGGGAAGTCCTTCCCATCCAAAGGAAAGGAGATGATGTTGAAGGAAAACTCTGTGTCTCAGTTCCGAATCTCTCTACTCCTTTCCTGGAAAGCTGCTTGAAGGGGTTTTCACTGGTGTGACTGAGAAGTTTTTCCTTGGCTTCCAGGCCCAGCAGCCTGTCCTTGATGGTGGGCTGTTGCAGGGGAGCATGTCTGGCTTTGGAAAGCCCTCCTTAATCCATGTGAGCACACAGGGAGGAAGGGACTGGCTCAGTGAGAGCAAGGAGAGGAGACCTGACTGTTAAACTCTTTAAGTCTTCTCCTGTTGACTGAAAGGACACTGTCACCTGGGTTTGAAAGGAACCATATCCTTCCATCTTTGCCTGGCAGGCTGATACAATGCAGGAGCAGAAGGGTCTTTTGCACACTACTGTCTAAGGCAGGGGTTTGAGGGAGGCACTCAGGGAAGTTGTAGGAGGAATTTGGAAGTTGTAGGAGGAAAAGCATCTCCATGTCAGTAGGGAGTGGGGAGTGCTGAGGCAGAGTTGAATTCTTCAGGGCATTTTGCTAGTGACCAAGTTATTGGATCTTGAATGTATTGGGTCCCAAGCATCCCAAGTGAAGTCTGGGAAGCCAGAAGGAGAATTGGTGGGAGACCCACTGTTGTTGGATTGGTTCAGTAATGTGGGGTTACACATTGGTGAGTGGAGACATCCTGGCTTTTGAGTCAAATTTTATATTCTGCTGGGAGGGGATGCTGTCTTAGACCTGTGTGGTCTTTAGACAGTGAAAAATGAGAGGTGCTGTCATGAACTGAGACCTTTCTCACCAAGCATAGTCCTTGGTGCTCTGGTATTCAGGCTCTTGGGAGGATCATTAGCCATGAACTGTTTGCCACAGCTTAGAACCAGTGCCATTACTGCAAGGAAGCAGGTCCCTCATGTTAAAGTGTGTCACACACTCTGTGACCTTTAAGCCTGGTCTAAGCTTTGAAGCTGGAGTGGTAACAGTGTGACCATCCTCTCCCAGACTGCCAGCTCCCAAGGGTCTGCAGCCAGGTGGTTTCCTCCCTTGGGCACTGAAAGGGGATAGAGTTCTAGGCCAGTAGAAAGCTGAAGTAAAACCCAAACGATTTTCTGAAGGATAAGAAATATGCGACATAGAGAGAGGTTATTCCCCCACCTGCCTCCCATCTCCAACCCACTTTGCCACCCAGCACTACTCCCATCCTGACCCCACCTCTGTTCAGGTGTAAACAGGGTGAGGTCTCTGTTTTACTTGGAAAATCTCTCGTCTATAAGAATGTGATTTGGTGGGGCCAGTCTCTGATTGTATGGCACTCACACCTCACAGCTGGAATGGGGCATCCCGTGTCCCACGTGCTTGCCTCTTCCCTCCCATGGATCTGCTGGTTCTCACGATCTCTTCCATCCTCTCTTTTCTGCTTTGTTTCTTTGTGAGTTCCTCTGGAAGCCTTTTTGTTTGTTTCTTGGTGTTTGGAGTCTGATCCTTGTTCTGTGGAAATCAACTTGCACTGTAAACTCTTTGCTTTACTTATGGAGAGAAAGATAAAGATTAACTGAAACATGCATTTGATTGGTTGGTTTTTTGTTTGTTTCTTTTTTTTTTTTTTTCCCAGAGGGAGGTTTATAATCTTGTTTGTCTTATGCTGGGGTGACCTGTGCCATTAGATAACCGTAGGCTAGCTTCCTCTGCAGGGGTGATATTTTTTTTTGTAATCAGAACTGAAGATTGGACTCTGGAGAAATGAGCCTGAACTGTGTGGGTTTGGCTCTTTCTGTGTTTATGGCATGAGACATCATCAGAGATCAAACAGGATCAAGTCTGCTGACTTTGTGAACCGTGTGCTAAAACCTTTGTGCAGTTGAGACCTGTCAAACAGGCACCCTGGCGGTTATTAGGAAAGGACATAGAAGGGCTGTGGGTAAGAGTTGGGGCTGGTGGGCTTCATTCCTGTCCATGCTAATCATGTCTTCAGTCATGTATTCAGTGTCATTCCAAAGTCACCTGCTCTGTGAAGGCTCAGTAACTTAAACCATTGTTTTATCTGTTACACTGCAGATAAAATCCAGGTTGTGGGTTTGCCCTTGAAGTGCCATCGTTGCTTGTCCCCAGGCTGTCAGTCACTAGGAAGAAGGTTTGAGGTCAGACCTTAGCATGTGTCTCCTGTGGATCTCGTGGTACAAACACTGACATGAGAACAATAATTAACTTTATTGAAGCCTAATTTATCCAGCTGTAATTTCTCATGACATATTTCTGTTGACATGGGCCTAAATACAAACACTTATTGGGCAAAGTTCATGCTCATGCAGTCAGTCTCAGAGTTTCACAGAGAGGTGCTATCACTGCCCAAATGCTGAATCCTAATTCTAATTCTACTTCTCATCACTGTTACTGTCTTGGGAGCTTGTTTTTCTAGGGAATCACAAAAAAATAGGCTCTGATCCTAAACCCACACTGCTTCTGGGATTGATTTACAGAGGAACAGAAGCTGAGGATGAGGATGGCTTTTGTTCCATGCTGCTTTGGCCTTGGGTAAGGGCCATGAAAGGTTTTGATTGATGGTAGAACAGGCCTGCTCTTAAATCTCAGAATCACAGAATGTTTTGGGTTGGAAGGGACCCAAGCTCATCTCATTCCACCCCCTGCCATGGTCAGGGACACTTTCCACTAGACCAGGTTGCTCAGGGTCCCATCCAACCTCTGAACACAAGAGCAGTTTAATTCAGTTGACTTTTGAGCCTGTTCTTTGGTGAGTGCAGAGCAGACCCAGGGATTTCACAAGACACACGTGAAAACTCAATCTCCTTTATTTCCATTCATCAGGCTCTGTATTTGAGACCCATAATCACAAGCCCCTTGCTCTCCCACATGCTTTCAAAACAAGCATCCCCTGCAGAACACATTCTAAGGGGTCTTTGATCAGGCACCCCGCTGTGCAGCCCTGTTCCCTTGTGCACAGAGATGTTTGGGAGATGTTTGTGGATGTGCAAAGCAGCAGTGAGGGATGAAGTGCTGGAGGTGGGAAGGGATTCACAGTGGATTTGGTGGTAGCTCACTTTTGAACCAGCCCTGTGTGCCGGGTGGGACCTTGGCTGGTCCACAGCAGAGATAACACCATCCATGGTAAGTAAAGATCACCCAGAGTGCTGCTGCTTGAGGCTCTGGGGATGCCTGTAAAGAGTGGTAGTGTTTATTCTCAGTAAGGCAAGGTTGTGTTATTGCTTCTGTTTTTGGTGCTGGGAAATGATGCACTGAACTGGTGCAGGTGTGAAGGCCTCTCCTGCCCATCAGCACCGAGCAGGAGCTTGGCACTCAGTGGGGCTGGGCCCCACAGGACTGGCACAAGTTGATGTGTCAGATGTCAGCAACAGTAGCAAACAGAAATAGTGCCTGTTCTGACCATTAAAGCGACTCCAAGCTTCTTTTTGAAAATTACACATAAAAAGTGTACTTTTGGTTCATTTCTGAATGACTATGGCTGTAGGTGCTTCTGGTGTGGCTGATCAGTCTCTTTGTGCTGCAGGATGGTGGGTTGGTGAGCAGTGGTGGGGCTGGCAACCTCTGACTGTGGATTTTGAAGTTCTGTGGAGTGCAGGTCAGTCTTTGTTGCTTTTGTTGAAGGCTGCTCTTGTGTTCTTTTATCTGGAAGATCTCAGTAGGAGCTGGTAAAGTCCCACTTGCTGCCATACAGCATCCACTGGCAGACTGCTGACTGCATGCATGGTCCTTGGAGTAGTGAGAGTTTGTTTATGGGCTTTGAGTCTCTTCTCTATGGAGAAAAAAGATAATATAAAACACCCACCTCTTCTGAAACTCACGGAGATGGTGTGCAAGGAGAATTCAAAGCAGAAGCCGGAGGGAAGAATCTTAAAAGCTTCCACATGCATATCTGCTGCTTTCTGCACATTTGTTCAGCATCACTGACCCTTCCCAGCCTCTGGGGTGGGGGGCCAGCTTGGTTCAGGCTGTGACATAGACCTCCAGGAGCCCCCCGACCGAGTGCATGCGGTAGAAGACACCCAGGGGGAGCCCAAAGTTCACGATCACAAACCAGGTGGAGTAGCCGTAAAATGACCTCTCCAGTCCGTTCTCGAAGACGGGATGAGCTCCAAATGTGGGCATGACCCACAGCTGAAGAGGTGGGAGGAAAAGAAACACAAGTCAGAGCACGACAAACTGTCCCCTACCTGCGCCCTAATCTCAGCACTGGCTCAAGTGGTTGTAGGAGTATTTCAGGAGTATCAGAGGAATCTCCTTGCCAGGGAGGAGAAGGAAAATCCCTTAGTTATGCTACTGACTCCTTGCTGTAAGTCAAATCTTGTCAAATTCCTGGAAACCTAAAGACAGCCTCATTCTGCCCCAGCCTGCTGCATCTTCCTACAGGGTTTCACTGTTTTCTTGGGCAATTTGTTTTCACTGGATTAAGGCTGCAGTGTTGATTCAAGATCCCAGAGCACAGTGTACTTTATTGGGTGAGTTTCAAGCCTGGAGACTCATGTTTACAAAGACTTACTGCTGCTGCCTCACATTTCTCCACCTTTCCCATGAAACACCCTTAATGAGCCTAATGGGTTTTTTTTCCAAGGCTAAAATTTAGGAGACAAAGGATTTATTAGCTGTCACCTTCCTACACTCAGGAAACCCAGCCTCCCTAAACTCTGAGGTTAAAAGAGAGACCTTCTATTTATGAGACTGGGGCATTAACAGGAAAACCTGTCTTGACTGACCTCACCAGAAGGTTGAAACTTGGTGGGCAAAGGCTTTTGCTTGGATTAGTGGCCCAAGAGAAAGACAAGGAGAGCACGTCTGTGTCACAGGTCATCGTGGCTCAGCCAGGCTGTGACATAGCAGAGAGCACAACACTTACTATGATGTTGCACAAAACCAAGAAGAACGAGATCTCCCTCAATGCTCTTCTCTTCCAGCTCAGGTGAGAGTAGCTATGGATGTAGGACAGGGAAGCCTTCCGGAGCTCCTGTCCCAGCTCCAGCACGCTCATCCGCCTCTGGTCTTCACGATTCTGCTCTTCTTTAGTATCTTCCTCCTTGCCAGGGAGTGTCTGGGTGTGCTCCTCTTCGCTGCTTGTTGTGGTTTCCTCTTCCCCAGGTGGTTCTACAGCCACCACGTGCTGCCCAGTGGGTCTGGTGTGTTTGGCCTCAGCTGCGGCTACAAAGCACTGCCGGTGGAGCCCATCAATGATGAAGACGTTCTGGGTGATGTTCTGAAAGATGAGGAGGACAGAATAGGAGAGGATAAGGCTGTTCAACAGGTCCCCGGGGCCAGAGGCCACAAGGGCCACAATGGAGAAGTAGCACATGCCGATTTGGCCGAGGGCTGCCCCCATCAACAGGATCACGTCCAGGCTGCGGGTTGGGTTCTTGAGCGTGTCCAGCTCCTTTTTTTCCAGGGCGTGGATGACTGTCCCAATCACTGCGCCCACACTCATCAGGGGCAGGAGCACAACGTAGTAGGAATAATATATCACGAAGATCTGGTGGCTGGAGACCAAGCTGGTGACCTGGATCTGGTACATCATGAAGACGCAGATCCCGGTGATCACAGCAGTGGCGCCCAGCAGTGGCCCAAAGACCACCCCCTGGAGCTTGAACTTGGGCTTGGTGTGGGGGACGTGGTGGTGGCTGATGCGTCTCCCCACGTTCTTCCACATGACGTAGAGCACGGAGCAGCAGACGAGGCAGTACTCGGTGTTGAAGGGGTAGAGCAGGATGTAGCCCTTCTGGAAGACTTTGCAGATGGTTGTGTTTGAGCATGTGCACGAGGCAGTCTCATTGCCTGGAGCATGGGAAGAGGAAGGCAACAATTAAGAGGGAGATGGCCTGGATTTCATGGCTATCTTTGGGAGTTTCTCGTGTGCAGACACAACATCTATTTCTGTACTTTGAACAGTGGTCAGTAGGAAGTTAAGTGACTACTGCTCAGTCCTCATGGCTGTGAGGATTCAGAATAACAGGTTTAGCAAAGGTCTTTTCCCACCTGTGGTGCTGGGTGAGAGACATCTCTTCCTTCACAGTGAAAACACTCTATCTCTACCCTTGAAATATTAGTCTCCCCTTTTCTTCCCCTACATGCTCAGAAAGAAGAGCACTGCAATTACATCAGCCTCTTCTATTCTGGCAATCTTGTGCTTGCAGTTAACAGGTAAAAATGAGCAAAAACGCTAACTTATAGTGGGCTTTTCCTTTCCTAGCCCCTCAGTTCCATGGTTTCTTAGCAGATCCCCTTCTTCCAGGTGAAGATGTTCTCCCCTTACAGTCCATCTCCTCGAAACAACCTCCAATAATATGAAAGTTCAGCATTTGGGAGAACTGGTGATATCTGAATTGCTAAGATCAAGAATTGTTCAGAATTCTGGAAATCATCTGTGTCAGCCTAACACAAATGAGGGTGTGAAAAAGGAGCCTTGCCTTCAAACCGCATCTCCACCTCACGGAGCTGAGACTCCATCTCCACGTGGAGGTTGTCGTTGGTCACGGCCAGGAGCCAGAGGAGGAGGTTGGTGGCTATGGTCAGCATCAGACCACACCTGGGAGGGGAGACAGGC